GCGGCCGGCCGAGGCCCAGGGCCACGCCGGGCTGGCTCTGGTGGGGGACGGGAGGAAGCCGGGCGAGGATGGTGGGTTGCGGGGATTGAGAGCGGAGCATGACGGGGGGGGGGTTGGCGGAGGCGAGCGGGCGGCCTCCGCGGCCTGACGTGGTGTGTGTGTGGGGGGTGTGTGTGAGTGTGCAGGGGGGTGACCCGGGTGGGGAAGGCGGTGGGATGCTCGCGCGGGGAGGCCCGTGGTGCCGCCTGTGGGTGTGAGGAGGCCGGAGAAGACCCCAGGTGTCCTGTCTGCGCGCCGTGCCTGGTGCAGTGCCGTGGGCTCGGCAGGCCGCAGTCACCGTGGCTGCCCGAGTGCGCTCTCGGGGAGAAGGGAAGGAAGGGCCCGGGTTTGGAGGCAAGGGAACGCTTGCAGGAAACGTGGTGCGAGCGTGAAAGCGGCGGCCCGGGAGGCCGGAGGGAAGATGCGGGCTAGGTGGAGGAATGCAGGGGGCGGCCGTGGCGAGGAGGCTGGAGGATTCCGAGGGGTGTTCATTGTGCAGATCTGTTAAGGGATATTTGATGCTGGAAAGAACGGAAGGGTTTCTAAAGGCAAGAAAGAAGGGACTGAGGACTTGCAGCGGGTAGAAAGGAGAGCGTTGGAAGCCAGAGGGAGGGCGAAATATTAAGAGAGAAGATGCAGGGAATGCATAATAGAATAGACAGATGTGGCATAATTAACAAATGCTGGCCCAAGGACTAAAGAGTTATTCCAGATGGGCCAGCATGGCCTAGTTCCGAACCTGTTTGGGATCCTCAGTAGATGGCATCTGGTAAGTGTGCGGGTCGGGGCCGAGGTTGATTGTGGGGTCACTGAGGATTTAGACCTTGGTCTGACTCATTTCAGTCCTGCCCTACTGAGTAGTATAAAAACCTCTGAGACAAACCTTGAGAAACAGCCTGGGCTATGGGAATTCTTGAGGCCATGGAGTTTAGCAAATTCGAAGTATTGTCACTTATCAGAGGCTGCAAGAACACTATGCTGGCAATGGAAATTACTTGGCCGTTTTCTTCTTGACTGCCCAGCTGAAGTGGTCTGAGAGAGCGGGTGCCATGCCTAGGTTGCCATACTCAAGATTGTAGTCGGTGGTGTTGGGGGAAGTTTATGCATCACGACCACTTTTTAAAGGCTCCATTTGTAGCTGGACGCAAATGAGTCTTAATTTGCTGGACTGGTTCTGTACTTCAGGGGTTGGCGGGAGATTTTTCACTATTCACAGTTCTCCTTGTACTGTCTCACTGAGACATGGTGGTGTTGAGGAAAATAAAGCTGTAAGCAAAATGTAAGCATGAAAAATGGGGGAGCTACAGAATCTGTTTTGGTCTTAGGTTGTCAGGAGGTGAGGATCAGTTATCTGAGATCTAGGGGAATCTTAAGAGACCAAATGACTGGAATATTCTAAACCCAGGTTAGAGGGACAGTTAACATCTGTCAGGAAATGAACTAAGTCTGTTGGATTTACAGAGCCCATACCAGACCTGATTTCCAGGAGGTAATTTTGAGTGAGGACTATGCTTTTAATATTTACCTCCATGTTATTTACCTTTTGGTATTAAAAGAAACTATATCCACATTATGTTGTAATTGTTTTCCAGCTGGACAAAGTGTAATAAGTATGTTAAGTGTGAAAAATCTTTTTATGGTTATTGAAGGTGAAGAGATTAATGGGGAAAATGGAGTGAAATATGTCATTTAGCAAATAGCTCTATAGAGGGATGCTAATTTAGCATTAGAGTAGAGGGAATTTTTCTTTCACTACAAATTTTCTTATAGAAATAATCCAGGTTTGCATTATTTGAGCACTTTGGGAAGCTTTCTATTAGTACATTTAGATTTAGTGACTTTTTAAAAGAGCTTGCTTGTTTTACATAGCATGATGTGCACATTTTTATTGTTAACCATAATTTGAGAGAGCCAATTTTCTTCCTCCTTACTAGTACTGAATGTTATCTTTCCCTTATTGTAAGTATAATGCCCTTAAATATAGCATGCCATTTTTTGCCCTCATCCCCCTTTAAAAATATTATGAAATAATAATACGTGGATATAATTTTAAAAAATTGTAGCTCCCTCTGTACCTGTCCATTGCAGTTCTGCTTTCCAGAAACTGCAGCTTCTAAGCACTAATATATTAGTTTTTTTCATGCTTCTCTTCAGATCTTCAAGTAATAGGCATATGCCATTTTTGAGACAAGGTCTTACTGTGTAGCCCAGGCTGACCTCCAACTTGCATTGTAGCCCAGGCTGGCCTCAAACTTTTCTGTCCTGCTTCAGCCACTCTAGTGCTGGAATCATAGGCATACACTGCCATGCCTGGCTCCATTATTTCAGTCTTTTTTTTTTTCCAGTGGTATTGGGTTTTGAACTCAGGGCTGTACCCTTGGTAGGCTGGTGCCTTATATCTTGTGCCATGCTTCCAGCCCTGCATTTAGCTGATTATTTTGGGGATGGCATCTAGGGCCCAGTTGTCCTCAAACTGCAGTCTTCCAGATCTCAGCCTCCTGAGTAGCTAGGAGTCAAACTTTCATAAGTGAGAAAGATTGGTATGGCTTATACTAATCTTTTTTTTAATGCTTTCTCTCCTCCTTTCTCTATTATAGGTAGTATTGTTTCCTTTATTTGATGCTTATGACTTTAAATATTATTCTTAGACCTTTTAGAGCCTAACAATTTTAGTCTGTATCTCTTGACTTCCCCACTATGGCAAGCCTTTTAATCTGAAGGCTTTGCTGAAGTAGAGAGAAGTGTTTAAGTAGACTGAAAATACTAAATACAATTCTGTTTAATAATAAAGGGAAGTTTGGATCAACCCAAGGAAAACTATGTTGTGGGAAACAGCATCTTTGTGGCATTAGATTTGATCTTTAGAAATAGGCATGCTTGATAATGATGATTGTTCATTTTGGAATTAGTTAACAGGTTGCAGTATTCGTTGATAGTTTTCTGAAGAATTTTAGTACATAGAATCTGGAAAGGCATTAAAATGGTTTCTAAATGATTGCCCACTTTTTCTCCCTCTCTTCCTTTCTCCCTGTCTTATTTATTTGGTGGCACTGGGATTTGAACTCAGGACCTTGGACCTGCCAGGCCGGAGCTCTACCACCTGATCTCTCTTTTTTTTTTTTTTGAGTCCGGTCATGGGGCCTGAACTCTGGGCCTGGGTGCAGTCCCTCAGCTCTTCAGCTCAAGGCTAGCGCTCTACCACTTGAGCCACAGTGCCACTTCTGGCTTTTTTCTTTTTGCTTATGTGGTGCTGAGGAATCGAACCCAGGGCCTCCTGCATGCAAGGCAAGCGCTCTACCACTGAGCCACCTTCCCAGTACCCACCTGATCTCTTTTTTCCTTTTGTTACTTTTCTAATGAGGTATTGCATTTCTGCCGAGGTTTTCTTGGAACAAAATTATCCTATTTATACTTCTGGAATAGTTCGGATGACAAAAGTTGGTACCTGGCCTGTTATTGGTTGAGATGGAGTAACCACCTCCCGTACCTTGAACTTCTGTCTTCCCATATCTGACAATCATGTAGCTAGTATTATAGGCATAAGCTACTTGGCCCAGCTCCTTGCTGCAATACTTTTTTTTTTTTTTTTGCCAGTCCTGGGACTTAAACTCAGGGCCTGGGCACTGTCCCTGAGCTTCTGTTTTTGCTCAACGCTAGCTCTCTACCACAATGCCATTTCTGCCTTTTTCTGTTTATGTGGTACTGAGGAATTGAACCTAGGGCTTCATGTATGTTGGGCAAGCACTCTGCCACTAAGCCACATACCCAGTCCTGCAATCCTTACTTTTTTCTGAGGGGGTGAGGTAGGGAAGAAATACAGAATGTGATAAGGAGAGGAAGAAAAAGAGCAATAGGGTTTAATCTCTGGTGAAACCCAGCAATTTGGTTCTTAGTGTATGTTTGAGTACTTGCATGTATGTCTATGTGCACATGCTCCTGTGCCTGTGCATGTACTAGGTCTTGAATTCAGGATCCAGGTGCTGCCCCTTAGCTTTTTTTTGCATAAGACTGGCATTCTTCCACTTGAGCCTCAGCTCTGCTTCTGGGTTTTCGGTGGTTAATAGGGGAGGAGTCTCACAGACTCTTGCTTTGTCTGACTTTGAACTGTTAGTCTCAAATCTCAGCTTTCTGAGTAGCTAGGATTACAAGCATGAGCCACTGCTGATCAACTTGGATTGATTCTTAATTTTTAATTAATACCTGTTGAATTACTACTAGAAAATAGTGGTGTTAGTGGGACTGTATGCTGTAGGGATATTTTGTCCATATAGTGAAAGAGTGAAGAACAGAAGGAATATCTTAACTCTGGACTCAGGGCCTGGACAATGTCCCTGAGCTTTTCTGCTCAAAGCTAGCATTCTGTCACTTTGAGCCACAGCTCTACTTTGGTTTTCTGGTTGGTTAATTGGAGATAAGAATCTCAGGGACTTTGCTACCCAGGCTGGCTTTGAACTATGCTCTTCAGATCTCAGCCTCCTGAGTAGCTAGGATTACAGGTGTGAGCCACTAGTGTCTGGCTGGCAGGTTTTTTAATTAAGGGAAGAAGAGAATGAATTAGAGGGGATTCATGATCACTGAAGAGGTGAGATCAAAGACTGAGTCTTGTTTAATCTGGAGTGAATTGGTCTGGGTCAGGACAGTAGGGGCTTTTTTAAAAATTGGAGTCAGTCCAGGGGCTTGAACTCATCGCCTATGTGCTGTCCCTTAGCTTTTTTTTTTTTTTCCTCAAGG